TATATATATATATATATATATATATATATATATATATATATAAATCTTACGGTACGGTCCGGTTTTTAGACGGCTTGAAATCTTAAAAACCATAAGCCAAACCGTTCACTACGGTTTGAAAAGTTCGAAACCGCAAGTCAAACGGTAAAGAAAAATACAAACCATAAAACCAAACCGATGACCGGTTCGGCCGGTTTCACGGTTTCAAATCGAGCCGTGATCACCCCTAGTGTAACCCGTAAACTAAGGGGCCCTGTTTTCTATTTGTATCATGGACATCAAATTTGTTTGGTGCATCTAGGAAGATGTTAGAGAATACATTTGTAATCCCTTTTAGCCCTTGTTTAGTTTCATTGAAAACCAGTCGTTTGCACCTTGTTGAGCAAGCGAATATTGGTTTTAACGATATCATTAGATAGTATGTTCGAGAGAATATCAAAAAAATAAAAAATTTATAAACTCGTTGAAACATTAGTTTATTAGTTTTTAAAATTGATATCTTATAAGCTACTATGTAATTTTTTGTAAGCACCTATGAATTTTTTTTAGTTTAACCATTAATTAGGAGTTTTATTTTATCAAAAAAATAATTCTAAATTTGTTCCATTGTTGAGTTAAAAACACTACAAGAAAATTCCTTTTTAGTGACCAATGTTTTAGTGACGACTGGAAATCTGGTTAGTAACTTTAGTCACCATATATTAGGTGGTCACTGAATTTTGGTAGTTTTACATATTTAGTGACTAAATCGGAGCTAGTTGTCATTGAGTGATCACTAACAATTATTATTGTTATTTAATTTCATAACAAGTATTAATGACTAAAATTAGTTGTTACTGATTTAACGTTTAATGATTAAAAAAACATTGTCGTTACATTGGAGACTTAGTGACCAAGAATAGTGGTTACTAATTGTCATTCTTTTTTCAAACCCACACATAGCGATGACATAAATTTAGTTGCCAGAAAATAGTGGCCACTAATATAAAAAATAAAAAAATAAGTGATTTTTAATTTTTTTTTACCTGATAAAACAATATGAATTTATATTTTTAACCCAACTTTTTCTAAACAAACATAAGAAAAAGGTATATAATAAGTTTTTTTTTGTTATACAAATAATTTGAACGTATAATTCATGTCATGTCTTAAATTCTTTTTTTCTATAAATTCCAACATAAATACTTAATAAAATTATTTAGGTTTAAAATATCAAAATTACTGAGTTTAAAATGAAAACCAAAGAAGCCAACATGATATTTACTATACTACCTTTCTCAAACATGGGTAATCGAAAATCACTCTCGTCTAGAAGGAAATCTTTATTTTTCTCTTTTCTATTATTATTGTTTAAGTTAATAACTAAAAAAACCCCACCCCCTTTTTATCAGTCGATCACCGGAAACCACATAAGAACTCAAACGTTAGCCTCTCGTTCCTCTTTCTCTCGCCGGAAACATCTACTGAATACTCTTTTGTTTCCTCTCGTCTTGTTCCTCTCTTATTTCGTTCGAACCCTAGCAGACTCCTTGTTTCATTTGTGGTTCGATTTCTGAAAATTAATCTGTACTCTAAAGTTGTACATGATCGATTTCTAAAAATCGATTTCTCAGAGCGTCAAATGAGATTTATGAATGCTAGGTCGCGCCACCATGACGACCGCTACTGACACCATGTTAACCACCATAACAACTCACCACAACCCATTTCCAAATTTCAGAAGCATGTTTGGACGATTGAGCTCCGATTACTTCATCTGCACGGTAGATTGATTAACTGTCTGATATTAATGTATCGAGGTAAACATTATTCAAGTATGGAACACAATTAATCTATTTTATCTATTAAGTTATCAATTGTTTGTGGTTTTTACAGTTTGTTCCACTTAATTTATACCAAATTTGGTTTTTGGTTATTCAGTAGTGATTTAACGTTGATATAGTTCCTAATTTGGAAGTTCAGTTTTTGCTTCTTTTGTGAGTTCTAATTATCCAAATGCGAATATGAATCAAATGTAAAGCTTAGCATGTGATAATTAAGGCAGTTTGATGTTTTAAATTTGTAGGCTGAGGACGAAATTGGGATTAACGCAATAAAGTATGCCATGGGAGCTCTTAGAAAGCGTCATCTTGAGGAGGAGGGAGCTTATCTCCTACTTTTACAACTATCTCAAAACCTATTGCTTCTCAGGTTCCCTTTACATATAGTCCAAAATCCAATAATAAGGATACAATGTAGCTTTATTTTGTTTTTCTAATTGGAACTTAGCCTATATTTTTTTTAATAATAAAACTTGTATCAACCAACAAAGCCAACATGTAGCTGACACAAACAAAATACAAAGATAGCAACACTAACACCCTTGGATAAAGACTAAAACCTAAACCTTAGATATAAAATTTCAACATTAAGAGGTAAAAGGTAGCCTTAGATGCAGAATTCAAAAGCAGCCACTTAGAATTCCATTAATGTCCCTGAGCTTGAAAAAATCTCCAACTGTAAGCATCCCCAACAAGATATAAGTAGCAGCCAAACCAGTCATTGAAAAAGTAGAAATTGGACATAATTAAAGTCATTTTGATTTGTTTGAGATCTTGAAACACAAACACACAACCTCTGAAAGTGAATAAACCATTAGAGCCATTCATTGACCTGTATTATAACATCTTAAATTGAAAACTTTTAGAATTTTCTTCCAACTACAACAACGAACTTCTGTCTATGAATCATTAAATAACAACTAACTCCCATGACCATCCTTATTTCAGACCCACCTTGAATTTTGTACACATCAGAGTAGACATACTAGAGCCATATTTTCGCAAATATCCCTCAGTATAAGTATGTTGCTCTACTTGAAATATAAAACACCAATCCAAAGTATAAGTATAGTGATCCAAGTACTACATTTGTGACTAATGGCTAATTTGGTATAAAATGCAACTAAAATTTACAGGTATGTTGTTAGTTTGATAAGTTGCTTCTTTTGATAAATAGCTAATTATTGTTTGATAAATTGCTTTTGTGATTAAGTTGGAGTTCCATTGCTAAACTTGAATAACCATCGATTGATATTATATCATTCTTTAGGTATCCATTAATTATAGCTTTCATACTTTGGTTTTGCAGGAAAAGTCCTACAGAAAGTGGGTGCATCATGTGTTACTAGAACTTGTGTACAATTCTGTTGATCCATTTCCTGATCCTTCACTTCTTATGGTATAAACTTACCTTCATATATTTCTCTCTTCTAAAACACATACATTTCAAATATTGTTCATAAATTCCAAAACTTGTGATGTTTAACTGGTTTGATACTCATCTAAGAAAGTTCTTAGTTGATCACAATGTTATTGGGATATTCGAGACGCAAGTCAGTTAGTTCCCAAATATGTTATATATATGGGATTTAACGAGGTTTGTTCTCATTTCTTGTATTGATCTCAATCTTTATCCTATTTCACCATTATTTCCTCTAATGATTTTTTAATGTGTAATTATCATCAACATGCCAAAAGGGCAGCTCTAATGTCATTTTTCGTCATGCACAAACCTCAGGAAAGATCACATTTCACCAAAGCTGCATTAAAAACAGTAAGGAAATATTTACTACCATATACAAAAATATTATTTCTTGTATAATCACCTAAATATTAAAATATTATTTTCCTTACTTTATTTTTCTGCTAAAAAGAATAGAATGGATTATGCGGATCCTCATCGTACCACAGAAGAGGAAAGAGAAATCATTGAGCATGTAGTAAGACTCTAAAAACTATCTTTGATCCAAGGGTACAATAGTCATTTTTTAAAGGTTAACAACTAGTTTGTTAACTTAGACTCACATTAACCAAAACCGTTAGGGAACATCAAAATAAGGACCAATTTTGCAAAAGTGAACTTTTTAGTACCAATATTAAAAACATCAGCGAAACCCAGGGACCAAAAATGTAACTGACTCCAAGTTTTACGATACATAACTTTTTTACATGTTAGTGTTTTTGTAAAACCATGTAAATAATAAATTGGCATTCTGAAAACCAGTATAAGTGATGAAGAAGCAAATGCAAAAGGATGGCTTGGAATTATGATGATTTTGTTTTATATTCATGTTTTTTTTAATTAGAGGTTTTAATTTTAAGTAAAGTCTTCATTCAATGCCATCATAGTTTGATCAACTGACAGCTGTACGCTTTCAAGAAGCTATGCCAACAGTTCAACAACAAGTTTTAAATGATGAAACTTGTGCTCTTCAGGTATTTGCAAACTACATGTTTAGTCCTCTTGCTTATCAAAATTATAGATTTGGTCCCTAACTTGAGAACTTTTAATCTTTTTTATCACCATATTTGTACGTATTGTTAAACTCTGCAAAATAACCATACTACCCTTATAAGTGGAGTTATCGAGACTTCTTGATGTTGCACGTTACACTAAAACAAAGATGTTAAAGATGTCAGCAACTCAACATTGAATTATCTAATGTCAACACATGTCTTGCGATACGCTTAACAAATTGAGTGTTTGTATGATCAGGTGAGAATTAGCAATGTACTTTACTCTGTGTACCAATATAGGCAATATGCTCTGTTTTTTTCACTTA